AGAAAAGGTTCACTATGACACATTTTTTTTTACAGAGTACGGATAATTTTGAATCAGTGTTACCGTTAGAACTAAATTTAACTTGTCAAGACTTACGATCACTAAGACTACGATTTTTTTACAGATAGTTTTACGACATTTCTGAAATTAATTCTAAATTTTAATATTCAATTTCACTATTTTTATCAAATATCACATTGTATTTCATTTATAATAAAAAACTTAGACATTTAAAAAAAAAAGAAGAAACAATCACCAAAAATGTATCAATAGCAAAGTCATACCGTTTCACCATCCGTAAAAATGATATCATTATCATCATCATTATCGTCATCACCATTATCATTTTCATTATCATCATCATTATCATTTTCATTATCATCATCACTATCATCCTCATAAGACCGTTTTTCACCCTTTTTACCAGTTGCATCATAATTGTCTTGAGTATGAGCATCATGTAATTTTCCATTTTTAACAAAAATTTCTTTCAATGTTAATAGATTTTTTTTAATGAACATAAGTTTATCAACTTTTTCTGTTGCTAGACGTGTTCGAGTATTAGTAATTGTCTTACCACTAGCAGAAAACAAACGCTCTGCAGCTGTATTTGTAGCAGGAACAATAAGAATTTCGCATGCTATTGAGTACATAGTTGGATAAAAAACTTTTTGTCGTTTCCAAAATATTAATAAATCTTCATCGTCATGTATTAAATTATCATTAGATTGTAAATAACGTTTTAATTCATCATTAGTATTAGGTGCAATAGCAGCTGTAGAAATTTGATCAAAACATTCTGATAAAAAATCATTAGAATCAGGTGATGTAGTTAATGTTGGCTGTAATGATGTTGCAGAACCAACTGGTGCATTTATTTGATGTGCTGAAATATAAAAACAAGTATTTTCTTTAAATGTTATCGCTGAAGTAACATTATTTTATCATTATACAATAAATATTACTCACCATGTCTTTTATTAATTTCCTTTTTTAATAAATCATAAGCTTTCTTTTTATCTTTATTTGAACAAATTTGTAAGTGTTTCATCTTCGGATGAAGAACAGCAGCCATATAATGAATATCATCAAGTTCCCAATATGTCGGAATTTGATTCTCAATATATTTTTTCAATTTAATTATTGAATTCGGATCATTTGTATCTGGTTTCGATAAATTAATAAGACGTTGTTTGAATGGTAAAACTAAATGCATTGTAGGAGTTTTTTCTGCACTTAACAATTCTGTTACATCGACGAAATATTTTAAATACTTAGCAAATGCTAATGTTTCATCAAAATCAATACCAGCAAGAATTGATTTTCGAGACTTATCAGAGATAACTCCATTTAAATCTGGATAAACATCAATAAAACTTGATATCATATCATAAGCACTGCACCATCTAGTTTTAACAAAAATTTGTAATTTTTTAGATAATTTCGATTGATTATGACATGATCTTAAATAAACTATAGCCCGTCCAAAAAGTCCGTGCGTGTGACTGTTTTTTGAATAACTCGAGAACGCAAACAGCTAGAGACCTGTAGCTTTCACCAATCGAAAGA